TAGGCAATTTTTTAAAAATACACTTTATTGAAATATAATTTATATACAGTGAATTACACAAAATTAAAGTGACATGGGTCAATGCTTTTTTTTTTTTTTTTGCAGTGTTCCCTCCCTCCTCCCCTCTCACCCCTGGTAACCAACAAAGAAATTTTCCTTCCATATATAAGCCTCTCCTTGACTTTTTACAATAATGAACTAATACTATGTTTGTCCCTCTGTGATTGACTTATTTCACTCAGCATAATGTCCTCCAAGTTCATCTGTGTTATGTGTTTTTTTGCAAATTCTACATTATTCTTTAGTGTTACATAGTCCACAATAGGCAATTTTATAGCGATAAAAATTTAATAGTGGTTAGCAGGGGTGGGAGGAAGGGGAGTCACTATTTGGGAAGCATTGAGTTTCTGTTTATGGTGATGGGAAATTTGGCAATGATGGTTGCACAACATGATTGATGTAACTGATGTCACAACTGTACACATGAAAGATGTTGAATTGGCAAATGTTGTGTCATGTATATTTTTACAGCAATAAAAACACTAAATGCAGACAAAAAAATTAAAAGGACATTCACTAAGGTTAGCAAATAATGTGGACAATATGCATTCCATGTGCAATCATTTAATAGCTATAGGATTCAAGGAGCCAGAGCTGGAGGACTTTAGGGGCATAATGGGAAGTTTGATCACAGCTAGGAAGTCTGGGAGGAAGACAAGTTCAGCCTTTGACGTGGTTAGTATGATGTGGCAGGGGGACAATCTATGAGTTGTAAATAGCAGGAAATATGGGTTGAGATTTTGAGAGAGAGAAAGAGCAGGGAAAGGGAAGGAGCAAGCTAACAGTTAACATGATGAGAATTCTCAGGGGCACGGGGTCAGGCACCTGGACAGCACTCCCCAATGACTTCATCAGCCTCATACACTACAGGAAAGCAGCTTCATTATCCCAAATTAGACACCCTTCAACCTCTGGACTTCATCTGGCAAAGGCTGAAGTTAAGAGCCATGTTGGCGAACATCTTTCCTCTTGGATTCTGACAGTCTGAGTCAACCTGAGAGGACCACTTTCCTGGTGTTTCTTCTTGACACAAAACTATTTAGACTCCTTTCTTTTCAAGGGCATCATGACCCATATTTGGTTTTAACTTTTCATTATTCACTCATGTTTTTGTTTAATATGTTTATTCAAATAGCCGTTTGTCCTGTCAGGTCTGCATTTATAGAGTTCCTTTTGCACAAGTGCTTGTTCTGGGAAATTAGGTGCTTTTTAACTGTTGTGATGAATAACAGTAGTTGTTGTTGTGTGCCGTTGGGTCGGCCCCGACTCATAATGACCCCTTCTTGGGTTCCTGAGGCAGTATCACTACGGATAGTAGGATTGCCCAACCTTCCTTCCGAGGAGTGGCTGGTGGGTTTGAACCGCCAGCCATCTGGTTAGCAGGCAAGTGTCTTAGCCACTATGCTACCAGAGCTCCTAAAAAACAATAGAGAAAGAACGTAAGTGAAGCTGACTCTGGGTAGTTATTTGCCATCTTGTTTTCTAGCCTCTTCTCCTGTTTTGCATACTGTGACCAAA